CTAAACGCCCTTCAATGAACCTTATGATGCTAAATGCATATGCATAATTAAATTTATAACTGTCGAGTCCACTAATATAATCATGCCATGCCTCGTTTGAATCTACAGCAGACCCTACATTCCTCCTTAGCAACCTACTACAAACCTCGATTTTTAACTTGTATGGTCTGAGTGTTGCGCTTAAAAGAAGGGTCCTTCTTTCAATGTCCGGAAAAAGGCCATAAAGATAAAACCATCATAAAAATGAGACCAAAAGATTTTTTTCAGCTAAAACTTGAATGTCGCTGCACATGTTTACTGAATACAAAAAATATGTTTTTGGAATTTCCACATTTTCAAACCCAACCATTTTATCTCAAAATTTCGCCATATTTTATCAACACAAACAACACCAAGGCGAAAACCATTTGCCGGTCAGTCCTTTGTCAACTGCGCGACAAAGTTTTGAACGGCATTCCAAAAGTGTTTAGTGAAATATAAGTTTAATAGAATTTTGTGAAAATTTAGTGTAAAACATTGTAAAAGAAAAATAATTTGAAAATGACATGAAGACTTATCGCTTACAGAAACCAATAAAAGGAAAATAAACAACGAATTAATCTGAAAAATAGAAATCAAAGAAGTTGGCCAAGATTTCAATGTTTGGAAGTAAGTGACATATTTTTATAAATATTAAAATAGTTTTGTACATACTTCAGTTCTAAGAATTTACTAGTATTAATATTATGTTATTATATTCTTATTGTACGTTAATTCGACATTAATTATTATAAAATTTATGGATATTTGAAGACTTTTATAGTAAAAAATTTCAAGGCTTTACATATTTGATCCATAAAACTAAATATTAAATTATAGAACAATAATAAGAATCTCAGCAATCAGTATTTCATTTCTGATACTTAATAAAAGTTGCGCTTGAATAAAAAGTACATACAGTTTTCAGTCGATAAAAAACGATTTGGGTCACATAAGCTCAAATTTGACAGACGTTTATTATTAACAGAAAGATTCTATTCTTATTCAAGTGTGAACCTTTTAAATGTTTAAGAAAATACTGATGACAATGTATACTAAGTTTATTTTTATCCATCAATTTTTTTGGAGCAAGTCGGCCTTGCCCGAACGGTGCAACTAAATACTTGACTGAAAAAAGTGTATTCTGAAATTATGAATACTTATAGCGTCTATTTTAGAATATTATAAATTTAGTATGTACTATCCTGAAAAGAAGAATATGAGGCATTCTATTTTAAACCGTTTCACCGACAAAAAACAATCGCAAGGAGAGTGATTTTCTAATAAATTTTATTATATAAAAGTTTAATTATTTATAATATATTATATACACTGATTTGAATGGGATTTTCATGAACTTTCTATTGATATTTTTTAAAATGTCTCTTAATTTCGTAGAAAAATTCCTCATAATTATTTTTAGAATTTTCATTAAACTAACAGAATTTTCTTTGATTTTGATTTCAGTATAGAGTTGTTCCCGTTTTATCGTGCACACCGCAAGCCGCTTTAAAAAAAAAGTTTTTTGGGGCAACAGCTACAGTTTACACAAATATTAATATTTTTTTAAGTTTCTAAGTTGCTAAAAGTTCACTAGACCATGTACTATCTGATGCAATGAACATTATTATAATAAAGTTTTAATGAAAAGTCTAAAAATAATTATGAAAATCACTCATTTTTTGCGGTCAAAAAATTAATTTTAAAAATTAATTATAAATCCCCTTAATGGGATTAATAGAAAAAAAATTTGTTTAAAATATGTGGTTTTGAAAAATTTGACAAATGGTACGAAGTTGAATCCTAAAAGTTATTCAACTTCGTACCGCATATTAGTCAAATTTTAATAGGATTAATTGAATGCTTTATATATTCTTAATATTTAATAAATACACTGCAAAAAGAATTATCTTATTTTTATGTATAGACACTTTTTAGTTACTTGAAATATCTTAATTTAAGATGTTAAAAGTATATCTTCGTACACAATTTCAGTAGGTACCTTATATTTTTTGTGAAAAAAGTTCTGAGGTTAACTATGGGCTCAGATGTAAAACACTTTATGCATCTTAGTGTTTTGTAACTTACATTCTTGTCGCATCTTACAATTCACATATAAGTAACTTATCGCTAAACACCTTAATTTAAGATAATTTAAAAAATTTACTTTTCTAAGATGGAAGAAATATCTGGATCACTACACGGAGAAAAAAATGCTGTTGAATCAATGACATATGGGTTTGATTCATTGAATAGTGTCATAACGGGCTGCCTAACGTATATGCTGTTGTTTTGAAAGCACCGATTCTAATGATTCGATAGTATCACTTTCTTTGAAACAAAAGCATATTTCTCAAATTGACAGCATACTATGTTAATTCGAAGGTGAATCCTTTTGAATCAATAAACAAAATTTTTTAATTTAACAGTATATGCTTTTGAGTCAATGACTATAACTTTTAAATTTAAAAGCATCATTTTTATGATTCAAAAATTTGTACTCTTAATTTTTTTAGTTGTTGCTATCGATTGAATAACACCATACTGTTAATTCAATTCTTTTATGTGGTTAAATATATACCAACGATAAATTGAAAAAAGGGAATTTTTGTTCACATGTTTTTTATATACTATAATTAATTCTCACACCTTTAACACAACACTTTTTATACACATCTTTTTTTCAATTTTTCACACTAACATATACATCTTTATTATTATTTTCATTTTTTCCAACGGCTAAACACACACACACATACACATTCAAACACACTTATCTTTTTTAGTCAGAAAAATGCGGCTATTCCCAAGCGGTCACCCATCCATTTAGTAACCGCGACCAACGACTCTTAACTTCCGTGATAGAGAGAACCGCCGCGCTGCAATGTAATACATCCGCTTCTCAACGTTGGGCACTTACTTTGTGGTTAAATACCGTGCTCGAGATTTTTCGCGTATATAAGGGAATTTATATAGGGAATTTATATTTAACTAGTCATTAATTAATTAAAAGAATTTAAATAATACTTTTTTATATTGGAATCTCAAAAACGACAGGTTTAATAAACATATAAATATATGTGGGTAAGTATTTCAATAAATTTAGTACCTGTCAATGTCTCAAAACATAGTGTTCTTATTTTTATAGCATATGCTATAGGCAGTCCGCAATAGCACCACTCATTGAAACGAAAGCATATGCTTTCGTTTTCAGAGCGCGCTTCTTTAGAGCAAACAATTTTTCATTTGATTTAAATTTACACGCATTTTCTTCAAATTTATCTATTAGATGCTTCAAATGAATAATGTCAAAGAAGCAAAAAAATAATTCTGTTGCTATATATAGATGAACTATAGAAACAATTTGCACAATATCATTAATTCTACAGTACCGTACTTTTAATTTAAACAGTTTCATTTTTTCATTTTAAGCAATATACTTTTCGATTAATAAATGTGTCATTGAATCAATGACGGGGAATTCAATAGCATGGAGATATTTGATTCAACAGCACTTTTTTTTCAGTGTATATACTATATATATACACTGTAAAAAGAAAGGTACGAATTTAGTACAAATTTTGGTACTAAATCATAATTTGTTTCTAATTTTAATACCAAAATCAGCTCTAATTTAGAACCTTTGTTATTACTTTAGAAAACATCTTATTTTAAGTTGTAAGATGCCATTTTTCCATCTTATTTTAAGATATAAAAAACACCTATTTTTGCAGTGTACACTTAAATTTAGTACATATTGTATACTAGATACTTAAAATACATTCTTACACCGAAAAAAATAAAGTCTCAAAGTAAGAAGAAAATTCCGCTTAACAATAAATTTTTACAATTTAGTTTTAATATGCGAATATTCATTTACAAAAAAGAGGAATTTTTGTTTATATTTAAAAGTTTTTTAACTAAAAGATGAATTTTAACCTTTCATCTTTGATTGGAATTATTCCTCTCAAATTGAAACAAATTTATACTAGAAAGAAGATTTTTAGTCTGTTTTTTGTTTTTCTGAACGCAGCTTCAAACTGTTTAAAAAGTGACATTTAATGGAAAATATAAAAGAGGAAAATCCTCTCAATTAGAAATGAAAACTTTAGTGCCCATATATATAAGAGGAAAAAATGCTGCAAAAGAAGAGGAACAGTCTAATATTGAAATTATTTTTTTTCGGCGTATTTTAAGGATGGTATGTACTAGATTTGAGTATAAAATATATAGTATATATTCTTAATTTCAGAATACAATTATTTTATTAGTTACACGGCAAAAATTAAGTATCTTATAGAAGTAACTTTGTATAGTAAACTTATAAGACACTTCTTTTTGCACTGAATCCGGGGCCAGGTCGGAAATTGAAAACAAAGGTGTAAATTTCTGCACGGGATATTAATTAACTGTTTGATAGAATGGGATTAATTATCAGTTAATTTAATCAATATTGACCAAAAAGATTGATTAATTTTAACGTTTCTATTGAGAAGTCAACAGTTATATTCTTACTAGAATATGTATAATAGGCATGTGTCACTTGTTAGCTCTCACAATCAGTATTGCATCAATTGATAATTTCCGTCCGAGTTACCATTTAATTCAAAGAGGAAGAATATATTAAAAAGGCATGTTATGCATTTCTAATTCTAACTCTTCTTTTTATTAGCTTAGAATTAATTAATAATTGTTAATCTTGGACTGCCAATAGGCAAATGAAAAGAAAATAATAGTTTTTTCCAATTTAGAATTCGTGCTGGGAATGTTTTTGGTAGAAGGGATTTTTCATTATGGAGCGGATGATTTAGTATTTAAAGAATCGGCGCGGCGGTGATAGATTTTGAGACGAAAGTAAAGTTGTATTTATAGTACGTTTACGAATAGCAGTCAAGAGCAAGAGTACGAAGCAGGAGCAGCAGCAGCAGCAAGTCTTGGGAACGGTGGTATAGGTGCTGCGGTAGGAGAAGAAAGGAAAGGGAAAAGTAAAAAGCAAAACATGAATAAGAGAGTTGGCAAGAGGCCCTTGGTTCGCGGCGTGGCGAGGGGAGGAGAGAGGAGGAGGGTGCGTGGCGATATTGTGGTGCGGCTCGGCTCGGCTCGGCGCGACGGCCTTCGAGCTAGGTGCAGTGTTCGCTAGAAAGAAGAACGAGTCTGCGCATGCTCGCACCCCCTCCCGTGGAATTACGGTCGACGCCACGCGACTCTTGCCCCCACTCCTCGCAGAGCGTGTGTCATGCTCCGGGTAGCTGAGTGCGTGCCGCTGTGCTGCGCTCTGGAGGGGATAGGGGCGCGTGGAGAAGCATCCAAGTGGGACGAGAGAATTGACCAGAAGTGAGAGGTAGACGTTAAGGGAAAAGAGGGGGTTCAGGAAGAGGGTGACGAACTAGCGCCAGTAGTCACGAATGATCCCTGTTCTGAAACGGTCGTGTGTGTATTTTGAGTGTATGAACCAAGGAATGATTGGATAAGATAAACTCGCAGCTCAAAGGACATTCACCAATTTACATAACTGACTGTTTTCCAACTATGCCCTTCGAAAGTTATCAAAGTGACACTGGACCCGCGATTGTCCCTACACTGAATATGCGCAGCCCTGGACCTTTAATGCTCTCCTCTTTCACTTGCTCCCAAGAGTGTTTTCTTTTTTTCGCCCTTCTGCCGATGTGTTCGGATTAATGGTCTGCGAAATCGGCAGGCGATGTCAGGTTGTTTTGAGCCTCGCTCCGTCTTTCGTTCGTCTTGAGGGGGATTCCTGCTTCGTCAAAATGCTTCTCCCCTGATTAATTAACAACAAGTGCGCTCAAATAATGTTATTTAAATCAATAAAGCCAAATGCAATATTGAGACAACGTAATTTTCAACGTTTCATGATTCTGAAACCGAGTCTAAGGGCTGTTTAGTGACGCAGTGTTTGGCCCTTAGTGGGTGAGTGTCTGTGTCTGCAATGTGCATATGGTTTTTTACCATTCATTTTCGAGTTAAGTGTAAATAATGTGCTTCCTTAACAAGCCATCAGCTCTGCTCAAAATGTTCTATCAGGAGGAATTTATTTCCGACTTGAGAAGAAAAAATAATGGTGTGTTCAAAATCGTATTCAATGTGTTACTTTGGATAACAACTGTTTCGATAGAAACACTACTTGATAATACGATAGCACGAGGAATGCATAGGTAAGCAATGAATAACTACTAACAAGGCACCAAATTCCTTTCTCTCAAATATTTTTACTCAAGTATCGCATTTTCCAAACGTAACGTTCCATTGCCTTACATTCCAAAATCAATTCCCTTCAAAATACTGTCCACATTCACCTTAATTTACACCTTCCGAATGTCACATTTATGCTAGCAACGTTTCAAAATCAACATGTTAAACTTGTTCACCTTTTGATTCAACACTTGGCTCTTTGTTGTACTTTTTAGTATATGGTTATTTATCTCTTTTGATAGATTAAATCAGCAGGTATCTTGTCAGCATCAACATAATGACTATATGCTCGTCTAAAAATAATGTCCATAGCAATAAGTGATAACGCAAATAAGCTGACATTACTTTCAGACAATAGAGTCAGTGATACTTTTTTCACTATTTATCGAACCTTTAACCTATCAAAGAAAAAATACTATAGGAGTGTCTTCGTTGCGTATTATGAATACCGAGATTCTGTGTACCAATTACGTAAGGATCACTTTAAACATTTTGAACATGCCTCTCACTGTAACATGCAAGACCAGGTTAATCATTTTTTTTTTCAACAAGAAAATCGTAATTCAGTGAAACATGCAAAATATAAAAATTTGAAGAAGAAGTAATTTCAGGAGATTCTTTTCGCGAGAAGGGTGAGCTACCGAAGGAGCATGCGCTATCACATACATTTTCGCCATCTTAGAATGTGAGATGAGCTTAACCCTATAGCTTAACCTCATAGTTTTCGTTGTTTTCACTCTATGGAAGGGGGTGGAAAAAGGGCAAGTTGCACATAATAGATGTTTCACATTTTAGACGTTCTAGTTTATTTGCGGAGGTGTAAATATCTGTATAAATTTATTAACGTTAAAAGATTGCTATACCTACTTTTAAAAAAACAAATTTTTTCAAAATTTTCATAAAATCATCCAATATTTTTTTAATTGTGAGTGATTAAAAAGAAGTTTTTTCTTTTTTCTAATTTGTTAATCTTGTCTGAATAAAGTGGCCTGAAGAGGATGATTTTACAATTAACAATAATGGAAAGAAAAAAAGATTCATCTTTAATTAAAATGGTAAAATTTTTAACTTGACAAAAAGGTTTAGGATATTTAAAATTAATTTTATTAATTATATATTAGTATTTTTTAATTTAAAATAAAATAAACTTACTAATAACTATTAATTGCTAGTAGAAAACTACTAATTCATTAGTAAGTCGTATTTTTTATACTATTGCAAATTAGTAAGCCGACTTACTAAATGAATTAGTAGTTTTCTACTATAGCAATTATTAAAAAACTACTAAATCCGAGTACAAATTGTCCGACTTGTCCTTATTTGAAGAAGGACACTAATGAGGAATTGTAGTATATATTATAGGCCAACCATACTATATTATATATCTAAATTGGTGATAATTGGGCACTGACTAGAATGCCCTTTTTCTCTAAATAAGGAAATCCATCTACATCTTTATAGTTATGCCCCTATTAAATATTTGAATCAGGTCATGAATAAATCCCAATTTCTGAATATTTTATTAATTTTTCGCAGTGGAAAAGATGATTAATTTTGCAAGTTAAGTTTTAAGTTTACTTAAAACTTTATAAAATTTTAAGTGTCATATGAAGAAGATTTTACTCATTTTATTAATTTTTCAAAAGGAACTTTAATTTTTAACTGAAGTTGGAAACTATGATCTTTTATATTATGAATTTACTTATTTTAATCAATATAACAAACAATAGAAACATTTTTTTGTTTATAAGACATTTCTGAAACTGTTTTATTATAATATCAAATAAATGAATTAGGTACTAAAAGGGCATTCTAGTTAAATCCCTACATTTTGCTTTTCTATACTAAGGCAGTCGCTGGGCAATAATCTTGTTCGAACCTCTCTATTTTTTTGTGATCATAACCTCCCAGGTGCGAATTTTCGGTCGGCCCATGATTGGACCAAACTTTTCAAAAGTTGATGCAACTCTAAGTACCATAAGTTAATCAATGATTAAGTCCTTAACCGACCAATCATGAGCAGTTAAATTGACTTTAATCGGAGTTGGTGAAACTGGCCCTAAGCCTTTTAAACTACGTTTCGATGAATTGTGCCAACCTTGCGGCCCAAAGTTAGCCCGATAATTGGTTAAACTTTGCTTGTCATGGTTGGCTTGCAAAGTACACTGCAAAAACAGGTTCTATAAATTAAAGCTGATTTCGGTATTAAAATAGAACCAAATTACTATTTAGTACCAAAATTGGTACTAAATTAGTACCTTTCTTTTTACTGTGTAGGGCCAACCATGGGCCCTTGTAGCAGTCATAGTTGGGCAAATTTTGGTAACCGAAACTTTGCATGCCAAAGTTAGGCCGCAACCTCCAAACTCTTGCAGCCAACCTAAATTCGCACCTGCCACTGCAAAAAGAAGTATCTTAATTTAAGATGTTTTGATAGACACTTTTTAGTTATTTGAAATATCTTAATTTAAGATGTTAAAGCTATATCTTCGTACACATGTTCAGTATATTTTTTGGGAAAAATTTTTCAGGTTAACTATAAGTAACATGGACTCATATATGTAAAACACATTATGCATTTTAGTTTTTAGTAACTTATATTTCTGTCGCATCTTACGATTCACAAGTATATATTCTTAAGCATATTAAATATCAGTAAGATACTTTAGAAAACATCTTATTTTAAGATATGAAAAAAGACACCTATTTTTGCAGTCGTGTAATAATAATTTTCAAAAGATTGTATTCAAAATTTTGGTTTTTTATTGGCTGCCAATAATAATAAAATTTTTGAAAATCCATTTTGTTTTCTTGGCTGACAATATATTGGCTCCGAGCTAAAATCAATTGTGGTCCAATGTTGGTGCCCATTATTGGCCCAATCGATTGGCAACTTCTCATTGGGCAGTAATGAGCCAAGATTCGTCTCAGCTCTGAAAAGTCGCTTTTGCCTTCTTTGTCAGGCATTTTTATAAATCAATGTTGGACCGTTTTTTCAATCTTTCGCACTTAAGAATGCATAGATTTAATTCAGTTAAACGCATCTGTTAAAACGAATTAAATCAATATAATGAAATAATAAAATTATGTATATATCAAATTTACCTATTAAATTTAACACTTCAACCAGAAATAATGATTTTTAAACTCGTAATTAACAGCCTGATAAATTTTTAATTAGTATCTAAATATTATTACCGATAAAAATAAAAATTTGCAATTAAAAGCAACGAGTGATAAAAAAATAACAATTTTACCTTCAATTAATTTATAATTTATACCTGACAAATTGATTTATATTTTATCTTACATCTCCTAATTTATAAATTAATATAAAATTAATGATTTTATAATAATAAATGAATAACATTTTCCACAAAATAAGATTTTAATAATATATCATTTTTATTATATATTAAGGGAACGTTGGTAATAAATCGAATAAAAGAAGACTTTTTATAAATAAATAAATAAAAATAAATAAATAAGAAGACTTTTTAAAAACTTGTATATATTTCTCAAAAACAAGACAGATAATCAATTTTTTGTTTAAAAGATAATCTGGTAATATTTAAACATTGTAATTTGTAAAAATGGCGTAACTTACTGAAAATAAAATTTATCTGACACCCTTGCAGCAAGATTCCATGTATAGTTTTTTGAAACTACTTCTATGATAGTTAATACACCTAATTACATTCAATTGTGGACCTATTGAGTCAAATCTACTAATAATAAGAATTTATAACATAGATTAACTTGAATGCGGTCTATGTCTGGCCGGACGTTCAATTATGCGTTCAGAACTATTTCACTTAGAATTTAAAACATAGGAAGTTGACATTGTTCTCGAACATGAATTAATTAGATGATTATAGACTGTAATTATTTCAGGCTGGAGTAATTATAATAAAATGTATAACACTTAGACTAGAACCATAAAATTGCTCACTTTTAAGTATTTTTACTACACTGTGAAAATATACACACGACTATTAAGCTACTCCCAGCCATAGATAATCGTTTCCATTTTCATGGATATGAGTCGTATTAGAATTTAGTTATTCATTCACATTAACTGTAATATTGCACTCGATGATACTCATCCCTTCCATAATAGAACCCTGTACGAAATTCACCTATAGTCTGTTGATCCTCAAGATTTGTAAAAACTTTAATTCAATTCATTTATTGATTTTATTTTATTCCAAGACCTATTATTTATTTTAGTAACCCAATATAACATACAAAGTTTTTAAAACAAAATTAGGGTGTCGAATCCAAATTAGATGAACAAGAACGCGGATTACACATATAACTGATAGAATTTTATTAATCTTTCTTTTATAAGATTGTGATCCAAGTTGTATAATCTTTACCAACTTTTTATGGAAAAACATGAGAGTTAATTTTATTCGTTGGAAAATTTGTGTATTTACATGTCACTATATTCAAAATATCAATATTTTTATCATTAAAGCAGTTATTCCAATTCCAATGGGTTATTAACAATAATATATCTTCAATTTTCCTCATAAAGTTAACAACTTTATACCTATTGTGAAGTAAATTTTTTGCAAAAATAATTTCTCTGTATTCTTAAAAATGGTTATGTATTTGCAGAAATCTGCACTAAAGTAGAATATATATTACGCTATGAAATAAATGTTTATCTTTTCATAAAACCTTTACAAAAAAAATGTCAGTTTATATAGGTAAACCTGGCGAGTACCACTTTCACCAAACAAGTTTTTTTCATGACAGAATTTAGAGCTAATTTAGTGCTAATTTATTACCGAATTAAAAATTTAGAGCTGTTATACATTTTTTTAAAAAGTCTAATATGTTACTGCCTAGACGTCAAGCTACAAGTACCTTGACAATGAAAGATGTTTAAAAACACGCTACGCAGAAATTTAGAGCTATTTTAGTCAAAGTTGTTAAAAAACATGATTTTTTAAAA